AGCGTGTCAAGGGGAAAGTTAGAGCAGTCAACAAACTTTTTTAATTTTAGGAATGAGAAATATTTTTGTATAGAAAAGTAGTCTGTCTTCAGTACAGCTCAGTAGCTCAGGGATAGGTTTAGTGTTCTATTGTGAGATCACTTTAAAAAAATGTGAATAATGTTTATGTGAAGGCATTAATCTTCTTATACCTATTTTATGAGTGTTAATTCTGTACAAACACATGGATATGCACAATTAAATATGTCTATATGGTATTGATATTAAGAAAAAATAAACCCTAGTTATATCAACTGTAGTAAATTCAAATACATGTATGTGTATGAATATATATATATCGATCATTAATCTCTATGGCAAATGACTAACAAATTACAGCTTTGTTTAATTAATAATCGTTCTTTTCTTCTTGCTGGTCTCCTTTTGATCATCAGTACTGACAAGGGCCAAAGATGGTTATGAAACACTATCTTCTATTCATGATAAGGTCATTTAGAATTCAAAGTTTACTAATAAATCTGTGTCAAATTCATAGGTGAATTTGACACTTGCAAAAGCCCATTTAAAAAGAATGAACTTCTGCTTTCTTCTAACTGAAGAGGTGTTTCTGTGAGATTTTTCCCAGCCAAGAAATCCTAAGTATTTCGGCACCATTTTCATAATATAATTCTTTAGCTCCATCCTTCATGATCCTTCAGTGTTTGCCTGCCCAAAGTTTCACCAAGAAAAATGTTGTACAACCGCTAGATAAAAATAACTATTCAAATTCCACAAAAAAAATTCCTTCCTCACATTCTCTTTCCAAGTAAAAGTGCTTTCAGCTGAACAGTTCCTAAAACTATTATATAATATATCGTTTCTTCTCCCCCAACCCCCTAAGGATCCATGAATATGTGAGAAAATTGCAATATAAAGCACTCTGAATTTCTGGATCTTAAACACTTTCTGAACTTTTCATAGCCAGAGATGAGATGGTGCCCTTTTGAAGTATACTTGTTCAGTTTTTCTTTAGAAAGGATTAAAACGTACTAATTATCTTCCATAGTGAACACCACAAGGAGCAGTGAACATACCCACAGAGAATCTTCCAAATTAACTTTGGAAATAGAGGACTGTCCCCATTTCTCAGTAATAGCATAGCGTAATTAAGGAACCATGAGCAAATTAAGTTCACATAATCTTTTGCCTCTCCTACAGAGCTTGGTTCTTGGACACCCCCCCCCCCTAACCTCACACTGACTTGCAAAAAAAGAAAACTTCCCTGAATTTGATTACTTGCCCAGATAAACCAAGACAACTGAAGGCTTTTGGACAATTTCCTGTAACTCATTTTTTTACTGTGCAGTCAGCATCAGAACTATGCTAAAATTTTACCAGCATTTGGATTTTTTCTTATTTTTGTTTTTAACAAACTTTGTATTTGTTTTTCCCATCATCATAAATTGTCAGTTTACACACACAAACACAAAATAAAATTAGCTATCTTTATGATTACTTTGAACAGAAAAATTAATTACAACACACTAAAATATTAACTACTAGATTTATGTCCCATGCTGATTTAATATTTCTAACTTTTTGCCATGTTGATTATGCTATGCCATGTTATAAATATGAAGTGTTTGTCCTTTTATATGGAAAGAGTCTAGGTAAATGAAAAATCTACCAACATCTTTACTTAGGAAAAGTGTATTATTTGGTTTTGAGAACTAGCTGACTTTCTTCTATATCAAACATTTCCTCAATTTATTTTATTTATTTTTATTTTATGATATTACTTTATTTGTATGTCATTCCCAAAGGACATTCAGTCCCAAAAGCTCTGGGAAGCAAACAATTAAGTTTTAAAATTATCTTTATCTATAAATATATCTGTACCTCCTTAGGCACCTATATATCAAGTGATTTGCAAATATTGTTTTTAATCTTTTGCCTAGGTAAACAGCCATTAGCTTAAAAGAGAATCCCTAATGATAGGGATTATGTGAAAAAGTCACTCCCAGGAAGTCTTGCTGTGGATTTTTTTCCCCCCATTCAGATTTATCTTTTTTCATATTATTAGTGGCTAGCTAAAGTATACTTGTGCAAACTATTAGTGAAAACAATGGTGCTAATAATTGTATATGATTATGTCCTGCTTAATACACCTGAAATTCACAAATTGAGTAGATACAGAATTAACTCCATTGACATGATAATTATCTTCTTTTACTATTATAAAGTCATATTTATATTTTAGGGTTTTTTTGGCCTGATATTGAAAAGCTTATTTTTCAAGTTTAATCCATAGCATGTTAACCTTTGCTCAGTAAGTTAAAACAGATCTGTTTTGTAAGCCTCTCTGATGCTTAAGAATATTTAAAAGTGCACAAAAAGGAAAATAAAGGAAAGATATAAAAATAGGAAAAGGAAGTATAATCAATGTTAACGACTTATTACTATATTTTATAATACAACCAAAAGCCTCTTCTTCATTCCATACTTTACCCCATTCTCTATAATCCCATCTCTCCAGCCTCATTTCATCATATTCATCACCAAGGGTTATCAGAAATAATATAATTATTACAAATTATATCTTACACCCAATTTGAATTCTTCCTTTCCATTTAAACATATCCACCCTGTTTCCTCCCTTCAAATAATCAAAGTCCAGCCTTGTTATAATTCCAATCTAGTTCCAATCATAAAAAATGATTAAATAACACCTGTAATAGCAACACATTAAAATATTTTAACCTAGATCAGATAAACCAATTCTGTATTCTGTTTTGTTCCTCCCAACAGTCTTTCAATTCCTCACGGAAAATTCTAAATCTGCCTTGTCACACTCTCTTTGTCTCTTCTCTCAAAATTCTTGTCATCATCAGGCTCCCTTTTTTAATTCCACCGTGGCAACTTCAGCATTTCCCTTCAGTAAATCCAGTATTAAAAAATAATCCACATTGCTCCTCTCATTTATTGTTTGTATATAGTTTTTTTTAATTTTTAAATCATTCAATTTCAATTGTAAATCTATTATTCTTATGCCTTTCTTGTAGGCTGTAATTTTTAAATCCACCTGTAAATCACTTTCAGTTTTGAGGCAGTCCATATTGTTAGAGACAGTTTTTTTAAAGCTTTTTTTTCTTTCTTCTGTGCAAGCCACACCCATTTTCACATTTTTTAAAAATTTTATACTCTTCTCTTTCTTAAAGATGCTACTACAAGATCTCTTGGCTACAATTTGTTTCTCTAGAAAATTACATACAGTTCTTGTTTTGAAATGTTTCACTACAAAAATTACCAAACTTACAATGGAGGGAAAAATTTAAAAATTCAAACTCAGTTGTGAAGAGAGATATTTTGGAGGCATTTTAAGGGCATTTTTTTCTGGAAATAAAAAGCAACTCAATCAGACCTTCCTCGTGTATTTTAATGCATTTTAATAACTACGTATAAATAAGCCAATTTGACTGCATTTAGTAACCTAGAAATGTTAAGTAAAAATTGAAGGAAGTAATAGGAAATGGACAATTTTGAGTTGAATGGGAAACACAATTATTATTAAATTAATACACATTTTATCAAAAATAGGAGCAATTAAATACCAAACTTGTTGCTTTAACAGTGATGCCTCTGTGTTAGTGAGTCTTAAAAGTAATACAAGAGCTGAACAAATACTAAACGTAAGTCATCATATCTTTCACCTAAAAAGAGCTGAAAAAACATCTGATATTGTTTAATAGTCAGTGTATGGCATCAGAATCTATTTTTACTGGAACCCATGCAAGTCTTTACTTTCCTTACATCATACTTCGTATATTGTGTTTCCCTTCTTGGAAAGAATAGAGGAAACCCTTTATCCTTTTCCACAATATTCCCCATGCTTAGCATAAAGAGCCGAGGTGGCGCAGTGGTTAGAGTGCAGCACTGCAGGCTACTTCAGCTGACTGCTAGTTCGGCAGTTCGGCTGTTCAAATCTCACCGGCTCAAGGTTGACTCAGCCTTCCATCCTTCCGAGGTGGGTAAAATGAGGACCCAGATTGGTGGGGGCGATATGCTGACTCTGTAAACCGCTTAGAGAGGGCTGAAAGCCCTATGAAGCGGTATATAAGTCTAACTGCTATTGCTATTGCTATAAAGATTCACAATGAAGCTTCCAAAGCAAGAGATTATGATTTTAATCTCACCTCCTTTTATACTGAGTAGAGAGAGGGCTGAATACAGAACCAGAGAACAGGGAATACTAACTACCAACTCAACCGAAGCCTTAAGGCAACACAGCTGCCTCTGTCAAGACTCTTTAAACTCCAACTGGGTGAAACTTCAATTCGCATGTGGGAGGAAATGGGAGGAGGGCTGGAGAGCATGGCATGTCAAATTTTCTTCCTGCATTTTCTGTTCTTACACACTTGGCATGCCTTTTGCATGGTGGGAACCGTGCTCCATCCTACCTCTGGATGGAAGCAAACGAGACACATCCCTTTGAGAAGTGACCACAGTGGACTTCCCCCTCCTATGCAAGACGCTGCTTTCTTCTTGCATGGACACAGCCAGAGAGGGAGGCCATGCCACTTCACCGAGGTATGCCACCACCATATTCCAAGCCACCACCTTTCGTGTATCTTGATTTATAACACTTGCACACAAGCCCTGGGAATTACAAGGGGCACGCGCTGCAGTTGAAAGAACTGGCTGTAAAAACATCCGCAGAGAAATGGAAAGGCAGGGGGTTCGTTTTTTTGGTGGCGTTCCTGGGTCTGTGTGAGGGGTGCTATAAATCAACATCAGCACAAGCTGTCATGTATGATTTGCATTGATTAATGGGTTTCCTGTTCTTTTCCTGTTTGTCTTTTTCTTTGTTTGTTTGTTTTCTCTCTCTTCTGTTTCCTATATTCTGGTTTATTTGGGCCTTTTTTTACCTCCGGGAAATGCCTTTTTCTTTTTGTTTTTCTGCATCTTGCTCCCCTCCTCCCCCGATTCCCTTTATCCTCTCTCTCCTCCTCGCACATGAGCAGTGGCCGCATCCATTACACTGAGATGTATGAAATGCTGACTCTCATGTCCCCACCACTAGGCCTCGGGAAGAGATGTCCTTCCAAAGTTGCTTATAAGGTAGAACAACCCTTCTTTCCTTTACGGGCTTCTGGTTAGCAAGAAATGGGAAATGAATAATGGTAAGGGGTGGCGGGAGATAAAGTATTCTGCTATTTCTTTGATTTCAGATTGTCTTCCCAGCTTAATATGTACTGCTTATATGTTTCAAATGGTTCCACCACAAAACCGCGCTCGACTAAACCACGCCCGACTAAACCGTGCCCGACTAAACCGT